AAGTCTTAAGAAGGACATGTTCAGGAATCCTACCAGGGTTCGACTGCGGCAGAAGGTCATTTACCAAAGGTTGAAGGTTCTGCCAGACATAAGTTCTATTTTGAAGTGCGGCCCTGGAGTATTATTTATAGGGCTGAGGTGGCCCTCTGAACAAGTTGAGTTTGACATGCCTGTTCTAGACAATTGGCTCATAGATGGCGGTAAGGTTGTCAGCCCTATGCGCTAGCTGCCCTTTACCTCCAAGAATATTCCAAAAATATTCCTGGTACTCATTTATGTTAGAGGCTGAGTCAACCCCAGGGCCATAGTGCGGCTGGAAGGATTAGGTCAATTGAAAGAAATTCCAATGACCTCATTGGGACTTGAACCCGCGACCTTGTGTCTTGTAGCATAGTGCCTCAACAAACTACGCTACCGTGTTCCCTGCTATATAACACATGCCCTTGCAAATGTATTATTAAATAAACCATGGACCAGACAGTCTAATATACTGTGGAGAAAATTTTCAGGCATAATTTTGTTTTCTTTTACATTCAGATGACACTTCTTAAATGTACCACCGGCCTTGATATAAGAGAATACATGCTTCTTTTTATACACATTAATATGTCTACCGAGAAGTTTTGGCAGATAACATATTTGAATTTCCTGTTTATTAAAATTTGGCTACTCTTGAATATTATTTATTAATATCATTTCAGAATAAACATTAACTTGGCTGAAACTGCCATTCCAGGCAGTGAATATGATAACAGAAATGAGTGAACATACCATGAAGTAGGAAATTTCTTCACAGACAGCGTAAACAGATGTTATATACTTTACAGCACATACTTGGGAAACAGAATGTAGTAATCTAAATCACCATACAGGTTGCAGTATAACAAACTGAGGTTTGCATTCATTATCCAAGGTTTTCTGTTCCTTAGGTTTGTTCATTGAGTTTCTGAATGGCTGCATCCATATGTGAGACCTTTTGTGAACTAATTACAATAAATATACTGTCTGTGAGTTTAAACCTTGCTGATTTCAGCAGAATGCACAGTGGATTTGGTCAAGTCCGCTGAGATAATGATTATAGGGTGCATACAGATTACAACAGGGTCTTGGTTATAGTGTGTCATCATCTCATCTTTTCATAGTGTAGTGGCACACACTGCCATACTTCTTGTGTGCAGTCCTGTGGCCAAGTCTGAGAACACGGACAGTGTTCCTGTCATGATGCTTCATGTGACTGTTGAAACAAACATCTGCAGGAATGTTTAGTTTTAATTCTAACTGCATTTATTTAATATAAAGTACATTCAGTTGTTTATGTACACCTTATGTCAGATGTAAGTTAAATACTTTTTTAAATTTACTTCTTAAAAGCACACATGGAAGGAATGAGAAACTCATACAGAATTTGGTCAGCTAACCTTGAAAAAGAGAGGCTGTTTGGGAGACAGACATAACTGGGAGGTTAGCATTAATGAAATATGATGTGATGGTCTGGACTCAGCTGAATTATTTGAAGACATGTCCAATGTCAGGCTGTTGTGAACACAGTTGTGAACCTTAAAAGAGATGGGGAATTTCTGAAGATGGACACTCTTGCATGGATTTTAATTAGGGATTAATTGTGCATAAGTATGTACCATGAATAATAATACTTTATATTAATCCAGTTGTGTCAAAATGGAAAGATTTTTCAGTACTGGAGGACTCTGCAAATTCCTCAGACATTGTAAAGATTTTCATAAATGAGGAGGATTTTATGATCCTGAATTATGACAGATCTTTGATTTTCTTTCTGAAGTACTGTTCAGTATTCCCAGCCACCTTTCATAATGTAGTTTGCCACTGTGTGACATTAGAATATTAAAATCTGTGTATGTTACTTAGTGGCTAATGTTGTGATGAAAGATGATTACACAGCCAACATTTGTGAAGTGATATTATGATATACGGATCTACCACTGGGATAAGTGTTCTAGAAGAGAGTGTAGGAGATTGTGTAAAAAACTGTAACAATAACACAGAAAACAAACAAGGTAAAATTAATGTTCTCTATTTTCTGTAGTTTATTTTTTAAAAACAATCTGCTCTAAATGCCCACTGTTACAGTTTCAGCATTGTTAATAAATGGTAAATTAAATGCAGTTTATTCTCCATAGTTTATTTAAGAAGTCTGCTCCATATGTCCCTTACAGTTTAAACATTGTAACAAGTTAAAAGAATGCAGTTTATTGTCCACGGTTTGTCTTCAAAACATTTCACTCTAAATGCCCTCCATTACAGGTTAAACACTGTTGCCACCTTTTCTTGTATTTCTGCATCACTTAGTGCCACAACCACCATTTGTTGTTATTTCTTCCATGGTTTAATTGTTTGAGCTCTTTGATTGTTTGAGGATGACTTATAGTAAACACAGGAGATTTGAGACAGTGCCAAAGAAAAACATCAGGGGCTATTAAACTGGGAGATGTTGCTGGCCAACTGATGTCTTCAGATCTTCAAATGAAGTATCCTAGAAACATCTGTCACGCCATGTGTGCTGTGCTGCCATCTTCTTAGAACCATGTATTGTTTATTTCTAATTGTATGGTTCATTAGTTAAAGTTTTCCCCCAGTTCACATAAGAATCGGAATTTTCTCTAATGACCTGTCTGTTCTCTTCAGAGAAGTAAGGTCTGATTGCCCCAGATCAAACGGTTACTTTACTGCTTTGTAGAGGCTGTTCATGCTGCTGCAAAGGATACTTTTGAGCCCAGTATTAGAATTTTTTGTATGGGGGCCACTGACACAACAGCAACACAAATAACTGAAACATGTAGTGTCAAACGAGACAATAAACATGATTAAACCATTGGTATTTTTATTGACTTTAAATGATTTTATTAAAATGTAATTTACTTCATTGTTGTGCTCACAGCTCCCTCGCCTTCATTTTATAATACAATGAGATACCAATACCTATATATAAATTTTGTTCATTGATGCATCTGCTGATGTGAAAATGAACCATATCAGACATTATCAAGAAAATTAACACATCTGTAATATTGTATTACAGCATTCTGTGACATTGAATTTCACTTACACACATTTCAAATGTAACTTTCTCTGTTACATGTTTTGGCTGTACCTGGCCATCATCAGATAAGAGTTAATTTTGTCAAAACCATTACACTGTATTTTCACTCTACTTAAATTGAATTAGTTCCAAAGTAAAATATGTCAGTGTTGTTCCATTTGTTGTCATCCATTCATAAAAGCTATTTGAGCACATTACTTGTTTTCTCACTCTATTTTCCTCTTGTGGTGTCGGTGTTTCGCATGTTGTTTAATGCAATGCTTATGGATGTCATATTATTATTATTATATGCTCAACTGATTTGTATGTTTTCATGGTGTTGGTTTAGTATGTGTGTGTGTCTGTCTGTCATATCTGTAACACAGCTGCATCATTATGTAAAATTTCTAAAACCCATGTAAAGGAAATGGGATGCATCAGTTTATCCTGAGCTTTTGTGTATTAAGTAATGTCTTCTTCATAATTCAGATCCTTTTGTAAATTTGTTTGAAATTTATAAAGCCAGCAAATGTCACTCTTGAGCAGCATAGAGTTGGTTGCACTGCATTCCTCACTCTAGATGTTCTGTAGTGTACAAACTGAACATGTGCATATATACACTTGTGCTCTTAAACGTATCCCCACTCCAACTGCTGTTTTACAGTCGTGCATTCTAAAGTACCCTATCGTAGTAGAATCATTATATGAGTTACTTTGTACAAGAAGTGAACTGGATGACAGAACCAATGAAAAAATCATGTCTTATGGTCTAATATGGGGTCTGAGCCCCAAATATCAATGCTGACAATGCATATAATGACGGTAAATGGGAAGACAGTGGTAGTGGTGATTATGACAGTGACTCCCAGGTAAGCTTCAGTATCTGGAGCTGAAATGAACAGTACAAAGGGCACTCTACCTGCAACAGCAGCACTTTGATTTGTCTTTGACCACAATAAGCTTACTGCTAAATACAGTTGTTGCTAGAATAAGAGTTTAATTTAAGGCCATACTACGAGTAAGGCAGGAAAATGGAACTTTGAAGCACCAAGATTTATTGTAGTTGGGATTACCGGATTTTTTTACTTTAACCATTTTTTGGGTATTGTGAAGAAAAGTAAAGAATACAGTGTTCTGGAAACATCCAGTTCCTGAAACGTTGCATTCTTTAGATACTGGATTATGGACAAGTCCAAAAACTTAGTAATCATGAAGTGTTATACATCATCATCAGGACCCTTTAAAATCTATTTATTGTATTGTTCAAGGAATTTTCTCTGAAGGCTGCCACTTCTGTATAGGGAATTCTTTTCTTAGTTATCCCCATGGTATATAATATTACAGATATGGGACATTCATAAACAGGATCCATCTACTGAAATGGAACATTTTTGTTATAGGTCCCTTCATACGAGTATGACTAGTTACAAGGAGTACTTCATGAAAGGACCAATTTTAGCAGTTCCTTTATGGGGAAGGGAAATCAACATGTAACATTTTCCTCTTTAGTAAGTTATTTTCAACCCAAAGCAAAGGTGATTCTCAGAAACTTTATGTCTAGTGTGGTGAACAGAAGACTGTCACAGAACCTAACATATTTCAAATTTACAGTGATTTTATGTCAAGCAGTAACTCATCAAACATGATACTGCACTGAGAAAGGAAAGTGTTTCAATATATTTTTACAAATGATTTTAAGTAATATAATGAGTTATAAGGAAAAAAATGACACACGGTACAAAACCAATGCCCACTTGGAACAAACAATATAAAGAAGAATCACAATGTTCACTCACTGATGCTCATGTTTATGGAATGCTCGAGTCATTTCTGATGCAACATTTTGATGGTGGAACATTCCAATTGTACATGTATGAATCTCTTGTTCTGTATTCTACATCACACAACCTTCCAGACTCTTTTAATGTGACAAACATTTTCCTCATAGTTGTTGCATCATGTTTGTGTGTCACGAGATAGGTGTTCGAACAACCACGTGACATAAATTCAGTGTCAAAGCGTGGATCATGAAGCCTGGTGACATTTGCTACTGCTGACAGCCATACCCCAACTGACACATCTTCACTGTTATACAACCTGTAAGCACAGACACATTTGCATGCAAACATTTAATACCAAACAAGCTGAATTATTTTCAGGTTCAGCTGACAAAATTTACCTTAGGAACTTGGCATTGACAGCTATAAAGTGTATCAATTTCTGAGACAGCACATATCCACCTCCCAAAGCATATGGGAGATAGTAATCACACAAAACCCAATCAGATTCTTTCCATTTGCCACTTACTTTCACTTGTGCTCGCCCATTAAAGAATCCCCAGTAAAGGGAATGCTCCTTTGCCAACTTTAATGTTTGCAATTCTGATAAAACTTTATCAACTTGAACAAATGAATCATCGTCACATTTTAACAAATACTTAAAGTGATTAACTGCCTTATCAATCCATACAAATGCTTCAAGCACTTTCTTGGTCAAGCTTTTATAGTCATCATAAACATGTGGCAACACTATCAAATCATGATGAACAGACTGTTCTTCCGCAATAAATGAATGGATCTCTTCCTTAAAGCCACCACCCCCCACAACAAAATGGTACTGTACAACAGAACTGTTCTTCCATAGAGAAAGCCATGTTCCACGAATTATCTCTCTTCTGTTTACATTAGCAGGAGAGGTTAGAATTAGGATAATAAGAATGCTGTGATTACGTGTAGCTTTTCCTAGTATGGGATCATTATTTTGTCCGGACCTCAAATTTATCTTCTCCGTGCAACTGTCTAAATTTAATAAACTAAGCGTAACTGTACAACCTACTATAAATGAGAGTAATCCTGAGAATATCGCGGCTCTTCGCTTCAGTAACTGCAACATCACAAGGTTTCACATATAATTCCCGATCAACAGTCGGCTTTCATCCGTGCCTACAGACATTCGTAAAATATACGACACTGTAGTGGACCATTAGCTACGGCAAGAAGCATTCTCCTGGGGCTTTATTGAAACGAACATAATTACTTCAAATCACGCTTTGAATCGCTTTGAATAATACTTACAATACATATTCGACATCGATGGCATTCGTATCGATTACCATCGATAGTACAGTTTTCCAGACGCTCCAGACCAGGGGAATGAAACTCAATGCTATTGGCGTGCAACACAGCCAATGCTGCCGCGGTGGCCGGCGGACACACTCTTGACAAAAAAATGGATGTCGCCAGTGCCGAGGGCTCGGTCGGTAAGAAGGTATGCTATCATACCACCTGCCCTGTCGGTAAGAAAGTATGCTATTATACCACAAGCATTTTTTTACTGCTCCCTCCCAAAAAATCACTGGTTCACACGTATAGCTAGAATTAATAATCGATGTAAATGAAATGTCCATATTTTACAGGCACTGGTGGGAAACTTTCTCCAGATAAATAATGTTGCAACCTGATATCTTGTACTGCAGAGGTTCTTACTCCATTGTGTGTTTTCTGTTTTCAAACTTCGCTCAAAACCATCTGGAGGGGAATGAGTTAAATGATATCANCTCGTAGAGGGAGTAATAATACTGAGGTTTCCATTGGTTATTAATTTCAGTAGTATAATGAAACTCAAGAATCTGATACACTCTCTTGTTAACAAGATTAAGATTGCATTTAATAATATACGAAAAGCAGTAAAATAATTGCAGAAGTGTTACAAACTTTTTTTATTTGTTTCATTCTGGTCCTACAAAACTATAATTTTGCCTGTGGTTCTTTATGGGTGTGAAACTTGGTCTCTGACATTAAGGG